GAAAAAAAAAAAAAAAAAAAAAAATCTTTAGTGATCGATAAAGATATTGGGAATAAAAGATATTACTCTGATCATCCAAAGTTTTACTAACAACTATTCCAAAGTCAACATAAATCTTCTCAAATTGATACTCTAAATCACTCTCTTTTTTTCATTCTTTATTTTAAAATCTTCACACCCCCACCACCCCCATTTGGCCAAAACATCCAAAAACAAACATATCTGGCAACCCAAGATTTTTAAATTTATTTTTCTAAAAAAAGTCTCAAGACAAAGGAGAAAACATGTGCTAAGCTTTATTGAAGCATAGAGAATAAATAGAGGGCCCAAAAAGAGAAATGAAAAGGCTCAAAGGCATGTGCGCCAGCCTCACCTTTACCCAACTCCATCTCTTATGCCATCTTCCCTTCAAACAACCTTAGCTACCTTGGGTTGTGGTGATAGTACTGTTTCACCCTTAATTAGAGATTTCGGGTTCGAGTTCTGATTATGGAGAGAAGTATATTAGGAGTGTTACACACAAATGGACCTTATAGTGCGTAATCCAAATTTAATCAAAACTTTAATTTATGTAAGCTCCAAACACCAGATAGAAAAAACAAACAAACAAACAAAAAACCTTAGCTAGCTAATACTCCTACAACTATTTATTTCAAGAAATTCCCTTCTACTTTCCTCTCAAATAAATATATTCCATTTCTTTGCCCTACCATCTTTGTATTATGTTTTTGGTACAATACTAGTATATATTTTAAAAGAACTTTGATTAATTTAAATTTGCATTGTATAAGATTTATCAAAAAAGGAAGTGCTTTCTATCTATCGGATTCGTAATCTTAAAATTATGAGTTTTGTACTGTTAATTTTTTTTTTTAAAATCTTTTGTTTCAATTTATGTGACACAATATAATTGGATACAATACTTAAGAAAGAAAATAAATTTTGAAATTTGTGGTGTGAAATAAATTTTAGATATTGGTGTGGATATAAAAAATTTCATTACGGTTATGAAGGGACTTTTTGAAGTGTTTTTAACTATAAAAATGTGATAATTTTTTAAGACAGACTAAAAAGAAAAATGTGTCATATAAATTGAGATTACAAGGAGAAGACTGGATTTGGTATGGATCATTTACATATATTAAGTAGATTTCTTAACAAACTCTCACTCCCACCAGCTGACTCATGAAAATAGACTGACTGATAGAGTTTGTCTATACTGATTTGTATATGAATGCGTGACTTATATCAAATACTCAATAAATTATAAACCACTTCAAACATTTATTTTTAACAGAAATATTAAAAGAATCTAAATATATAATTATGTTATATACGATCTAAAGTAATAGCAAGAAAATTGTAATGATATTAAAGAGTAAGGAAAAAAAATGGCAAGATCGACCAGAATCAAAGATAGTGAATTCTACCAAAATTTGTAGCATGTATTGTAGATCCGCCTCCTACAATTGTATGCTTTCTTATTGAAATCTTTAATTAAAAATAGAGAGATCCTCCCGTTATTTGATTTAAAAAATATATTTATTGTTATATATTTGTAACGATTTATTTCCGTCGTTATACAAAAGCCATCGGGGAAAGGAATTGGGTCAGAAAAATTTTTCGTAGTAACTCGAGAATTCCTAGCCTAGTCCAAATTTAGACGAAATAGGAGTCAGTAAGGTCTAGGGAGATCTGGTAACGAATGAGAGATCTAATTATGAATTTGATTGTATTAGTGAATAGCTAAGACGTTAAGGAACCCGTACGACTTTATGGAATTGAATTCAGGCGAGTAGAACTCCCGAAACTGATCTTAGCGTGAACGAATAATTTATGAGTGTCATAGGATGAAAGTGTGTTGTGAAATGGGGGTTTAAAACTCTTAATTCGACTCACTGTTTCCGTGCAAGCCGCT